CTGCTCCCCTCAGCAGTGTACTTTGTCTATCTGCCTGTTCTGCTCCCCGCTCTGTCTCTGGTGAATCCTCTCATCTTCCGCATCTCTGGCCTGTACCCCAGTTCTGTATGAATAAATAAATAAATCTTTAAAAAAATAATAATAAAGAATTTCAACTGAGTGTAATTAAAGCAAGCTGAAGTCAAAAGAGGATAGAGAACTAAACCTAGCCCACTAATGTATTTCATTTTTCAAATACTTTTCACTTTAATTTACTTTTTGAAGTTAGCCATGTTTTTTAAATAAAAATACAGATACATGTTGTATTTATTTGAAATAAAATTTTGAGTATAAATGATTTCCCTTAAATAAAAAAATGTACAAATGATGTAAAGAAAATACAATTCCACAGTTAAAATCAAATTCGTAGCAGATATGAACAGTTTACCAAATTGTATTAAAAATACAATAAAAAATATATACCTAAATAAAAAAAAACTGGGAAGATAGGGGATAGTGGAACCACATTTGTATGTGAAAAAAGCTTGGTTAGAGCTGAGAGAAGATTGACCTTTAGCAGGGACATGCCCTTTCCAGTTTGTCAGAGTCCCCACCATTCCCCAGCATGTTACTCTGGCTGCCTTGGCTCGCATGGGCAGCAGCCACTGAAAGGCATGCAGTTCGCCACCTCTGCTTGAGAGATGACGCGAATGGGCGGCTCACAAACCAGCATCATTCGGCCAAGTCCTAGTTTTCCTCTGCTTGATATGGAATGAACTCACACTGATTCTCAGTGCCCTCTGAAACACATTCTCATGCCTTTATAAATTCACTCCTGCAATGAATTGATACATATCTACGGACTTCCTGTTTTGTGCTGGGACTTGGCTCAGCACTGGGGATACAGATGACCGTGGGGTCCCTGCTTCCCAAGTGAGCGCCCTTCTCTGAGCTGACCTTATGTACCAGGCTTCCGGACCCCAGGGTGAACTCTGCTAGCTAAGGTCTGCTCCATTCGCAGACTTCGCAGACAAAGGTGCATTTATTTGTATCCCTGCTATCACTTCCCTGCCCATGGCGTTAGTTCTCTCTGGACTATTCCAGATCACACCAGCCTGAAAGGCTGCTTGGTGTAGAGGAAAGGGTGGCAGTCAAGAAGCAAGTTGGGAAATGTGGGGTGATTACTTCCCAGTCTGGGTTTGATTTCTTTACTGTGAATCAGTAGTGTGGACTCAGATTGCTTAGGCCCAAAGGCAGGTCGCCTGACCTCTCTGAACTTTGGTTTTCTCACCTATAAAACAAAGATGAGGGTATTTATCTCCTACGATTCTTTTGAGGACTGAGTCACATTATCCATAGGAAGGGCTTAATACAGTGCCTGGTGTGTAGTGAGCACTTGCTAAATATTTAGTAGCTGTGAGTAATACTAACAGTCATGACTGACAACTCTTGAGTCCCACTCCCGGAGTCCTCTGGGACTGCCCCTCCTCCACTGTGTCCTCCCACGCCACTGTGTGAACAGCTACTACTTCGAGTCCAGTTGTGTCCAGACCTGAGGGTTGGAGCCTCATCTTCCACTGCCCTGTGTGAGTGCCCAGCATCTTGTATCAGTAGCTCAAAGTTGGTTAAACTCCGGGTCTGGAGTAGTAACCCAGCCTTGCCAGCTGCAAAGACACCTGCCCTTCAGAGAGGGGCTGATATGGAGACAGTCAAGCCCTGAGGCACATGGGCCAGGACCTACCCAGGGCAGGGTAAAGGGGCCCACTTGTTCCTGGGATGAGCATCAGGTCCAGTCTGGGGAATCCAGAATTGGGGCCCCCTTCCCCAGGGCTCATTCATTCTCTGGAAAGGGAAAGGAATGTCTGTTTGTTCCCTCTTGCTCTAATAGACCCTCAGCTCCCTTCTGGAGGAGCAGACCAGACTAAAGATGAGGTTGGAGGAGCTGCAGCAGCTGAAAATGAAATTTAAGGGCTCCTCCCAAGATAAGGTAAGCTGGGAAAGGGGTTGTGGTCTGGTAGAAACAACTGAGCAGCTTGTCGTTTCACTTGTGACTCTGCCGTTCCTTGCTTTGTGACCCTGAGTGTGATATCTGAACTCTCCAACCCGCCTGTATGCATCTGTGGAGTTACCTACCTTTTCGATCAATGCACTAAGACCTTGCATGTGAAGTGTCAGTACAGGTTTGACCTGCCTTCACCCATACACTTAACCTGCTCACTTCAATATTCGTTCTTGGTTCTCAGCACCAATCTCATGAAACTGGGAACATTGTCCTCCTGGGAGAGAGTGGGGAGCTCTTCTACCTTGCAGACTGCATCAGCCTTCCCCTCCTCACTTCTAGGTCCCATTCCCAGTGCCTGAAATGCCCCTGGTGTTCCAAGGACACATACATCGGGGTAAGGAAGCACCGAAGTCTTCGGTTTCTGACCTGAAGATCTGTTACCCTCTGCCTGGAGGCTCTGCTGTGGTTACCTTTGATGACCCCCAAGGTGAGTTCAGGGAAGCCTGAGGAGGGCAGTGGAAGCTTTCCCAGTACTGACCCTGACACCCCCACCCAGTGGCTGAACAGGTGCTGCAACAGAAGGTGTATAAGATTGACATGGAAGAATGCCGGCTGCGGCTGCCGGTCTGGCCCCTGGAGCTGCCAGTCATGACCACCGTCGAGGTGAGTGCCAGTCCTGGGACGTGCATGGAGTACCATGCACCTGGGCACAGAGCCGTGGGGCTGTGCTGGGACCACTCCCTCCTGTCTCCCCCCAGGTGTCCAGCCAGATGGATGGCCAGAGAGTACTGGTCAGTGGGTTTCCTGCTGGGCTCAAGCTGAGTGAGGAGGAGCTGCTGGACAAGCTAGAGATCTTTTTTGGCAAGACCAGGAATGGGGGTGGCGATGTGGAGGCTCGGGAACTGCTACAAGGAGGGGTCATGCTGGGCTTCGCTGAAGCTAAAGGTAAGAGCCCCGCCGCCCGCCGATTAGGGCACAGGTGCGTCAAGGTCTGGAGGGGCAAGTGCTTGCGGGTGAAGTCTGCCCTTGGCATTCTTGCAGTGGCCCAGAACCTGTGCCAGATCGGCCAGTTCACAGTGCCCCTGGGTGGGCGGCAGGTCCCGCTGAGAGTGTCTCCCTACATGAGGGGGAATATCCAGAAGGCTGAGGTAAGTAGGAAGGTGGAGGGAGGGTAGAGGCTGGACCCGGTGGCCCGACCTTGCCAGAAACGTGGTTCCCAAGCGAGGCTCCGAGCCCTCAGCCCCACACTCCTAGACCAGCCGCTCCACGCCTCCTGCCTCCACAACTGTCGCCTTCCCTGCCCTGGGCTCCAGCCTTTGCCCACCTCCCTGCTCCTTTTCCAGATGAAGCTCCAGTCAGTGCCCCACTCTGTGCTGGTGTCCAACATTCCCGACATCCTGGACGGCTCCGAGCTGCACGACATCCTGAAGATCCACTTCCAGAAGCCGACCCGTGGGGGCGGGGAGGTGGAGGCCCTGGCGGTGGTGCCCGCAGGTCAGCGGGGCCTGGCCATCTTCACTGCCCAGTCAGACTAGGCAGCTGGCCTTCTCGTCACCCCACCCCCTGCCCAGCTTCTCACATGGGGCTGCAGTTGGGTGCCCAAGTACCAGGGAGACCCTGCTGGTGGACAGTGAGCAGGGTAGAGCTGTGAAATGCTGAACAGTAAAAGTGGCTGCATGATTTTCCTCCTCTGTTCAGTTCAGGGAAGTGGCTGGGGGTGGGAGGAAAAGAAACCCTAACCTTCCCCACACATTTAAGTAACATGCAGGGCCGGGGTTTGGCTTTTTATTGACACAAACACAAAGGCAGCTGTGGTCATGGGTGGGGTACACAAAAGCAGAAATCAAACTTGAGCCATTTAGGCCTCTTTAGAAAATGAAGAGGTTGTGCCCCCCCGCCTCTCACTGGCAATGGCTGGGCGATCCCGGTCCCCAAATCTACCTCAAAGCGCAGAGGGAGTCTCACCGCTCCCCCAGGAGCCCCCACTTTGGTTCCAGCAGCCCAGGTCCTAAGCAACCCCACCCCCTTACTGCCCTGCTCCACCTCCCCACCCATGTAAACAAAGTTGGGGGCTGAGTTTGAAAAGCCACCTCCCTGCTCCAAGGAGGCAGTGGGCCTCCCTTGAACACACAGGGAATGTGCTCTGAGTTTCACTTTGGTCCCAAAACAAAAACAGACAGAACTGCCTCTCAGAGCCCTGGCTGGTAAAAGCCACACTTATCTGCAAGGCTGAGAAGGCTTCCCCAGCTTTGTCCCCAACCACCCACAGAGAAATGACAGCCCCAGAGACAGGACATGGCATAGACCCCAGCGTGCCAGGGGCTGGCCCCCCCCCATTGGCACACACTCAGAATTTTGGCAGTGTTGTGGGACTGGGGAGCAGCAAAACCCCAGCTCCCCCAGAACAAGGAAGGCACTGGGGCATACAGAGGCGGAGGAGGAGGTGCGAGGCAGGGAACCCCCACATACACAAGCACAGGTTTTCCGCTGGTAAGGCACTGAGAACAAATCCAGAGAACTCAGTGAGGGGGAGGGGTGTCTGTGTCCCGCCCACAGAATGAGACCGCAGGGGAGCAGGGCTGATTCCCACCCTTGCTGTAAGAGGCAACCTTGGCCAAGAGTGGCAGGAAATCTAGAGGTGGAAGAAGCCCAGTTGTGCTTAAGAAGTTGGGGACAGAAGACAAGGCCATGCAATGAGGCAACAAGAGGTCAGAGGTGGGTGCTGGCGGCCTGGGTTGCAGGGACAGGAGGGCAAGACAGGCCATGCAGGACTCACACAGGTGGGCCCCACATCCTGAGCTCACGTTTCGGTTCTTTGGGGCGGTGGTGGGGCAGGGGCAGGCGGGGAGATGGGGCAGAGGCGGGGCACACAGAACAGCACGGGAAGGGACTGGCTAACCTTGGCACAAAAGCAGCACAGCAGGCCTGGGGAAAGGGTGGGGGCAGGAAGCAGTGGCCTCCCTCTGACCCTCCCTGTCCCCTTGGCAGGGCCCAGACATCCAAGTGGTCACTTCCCAACCTCTTTGGGGGGCAGGACAGGGAGAGGGGCAGCCCTGACGAAAGAGAAAGAGCAGGGTAGGGGAGTGATCAGCACGGAGAGCCTGGGCTGGGCGGGAGAGAGGGCAGAGGGCAGGAGGGCAGAGCACTGCCATAGAAGGTGAAATGTGAGTCTGCGGCCCCCAGCACACAGCTTCCCAGCTGCTCCCTCGCAGGCCCCAGGGGTCCCCAGGCCCCATCCTAGTTCTCCTTCTCTGGCCCAGGCACCAGGAGGACTTTGCCCACGTTCTTCTTTTCCTGCATCTGCCTCATGGCATCCACCACCTGGAGAGGAAGAGAAACACTGCCTCCAGAGCTGTCCAGCCCTCCTCCACCTAGCAGTCCTGTCTGGGGCCCCAGTCTTCACAGTTCTCCCTAGGGCCCCCCACAGAGTCATCACGCTTACCTTCTCGAAGGGCCACACAGAGTCGATGTGGGGTTTGATGTGGCCCCGGTTGTAGAGAGTCAGAAGGCGCGCCACCACACCACTCACCAGCTCCACCTCGCCCTCCAGGTAGCCCAGGTGGAAGCCACACACAGCTCGGTTGGCTGGCAGCAGCTGCAGGGCTGTCACACTGAACTGATTCCACCACGTGCGGGCTAGAGCCATGAGGTTCCGCTTGGGGCCCGTCAGCAGGTTAGCCATTCCTGTGGGACAAGGACACAGCCGCACCCCTGGTCTGCATCCAAGCTTGTCTGCTGTCCACACCAGCCCCAGGGAAGGACAGGATAATCCCAGCCATTGGCTTCCAGGCCCAAACTGACTCCAAAATTGCTCCAGCTTATATTTATTTCTTATGTAAAACACAATTTTATTATTTTTTTTACACACACAGATTTTACATACTTTCCTTGCCCAAGAAGCCAGGAGAGTAGGACAGGTGGAGGCTGTTTGACGTTGCCTCAAGATACGCCCCCCACAGAAGCACGAAGAGCACACAGAGTGTACTACGATTTGCACGGAAAGTTGTGAAAGAGAATGACAATAGCTGGTACCCAGGAGGCAGCCAACTCCTGTGGCACTCACCCTGATGCTCTCTACAGAGCACCTGCCCTTTCTTCATTCAAAAATTCTGGGCCCTTAACTCCTAGCCTTCAGACCTATGCTGCTTCCCTAATTGCCTCTCTCCATGCCTCTCCCGCCAACTCACCGTAGGTGACCACTTTGCCCATGGGTTTGAGGAGGTTGTAGCCCTTGGCGGTATCTGACCCACCCAGAGGGTCCATGACGATGTCCACTCCTGTCACAGAGCCAGGAATCCAAGAACAGCGTTAACGACACAGATCTGGAGACCCCGTCCCGTCCTGAGCCATCCCACCCCTTCCCTGACCCACCTTTGGGGGAGATCTTCTTGATCTCATCCACATAGTCAGTTGTGTGGTAGTCGATGGGGTGTGTGACCCCGTTTTCCTTCAGTACCTCATGCTTGCTGGCTGAGGCTGTTCCGAACACTGTCACGTTCTCCACCGTACGGCACAGCTGCACAGCGGCCATTCCCACGCCCCCTGCGGCAAGACTCGGGTGAGCGGGGGTATGGAATGACCTGGCCATTTTACCCTCTCAAGGACCCAGCCTATCACCTGCATTTTGTCTGGGCTCATGTGAGACTTTCTGCCCACATCCCTTGTCCAATTTCCATGACTGAGAATTTGGGGAAAGAACAATTGGGGAGAGGGGTGCTGAGCGAGGAAACGTTGCTATGGATAGCACACCAGGCCAGACCTGGTGCCTGAATGTTACCACGGCAACAGTGCAGAGGCCTCTGGTGCCACAGACCTAGGCAGCCTGGTGTTGCCATGACAACAGTCCAGACAGACTGCATGGAAGGGGCCTGCAAGGAAATCTGGGTAGGGGAAAGAGGAGGGACAAAGAGAAGGGTCTGTCACCTGCAGCCATGTGCACTAAGACGCTGTGGCCAGGCCGAAGGTTGCCGAAGTCAAAAAGGACCATGTAAGCCGTGACATAATTGACCAGCAAGGCAGCAGCTTCCTCAAAGGTCATGGCCTCAGGCATCAGGAAGGTCTGGGCTGAGGGCACAGTCACCTCCTCCTGCCACATGCCCGACCGGATCAACACCATCACCCGGTCTCCTACCTTGAGGAGTGGAGGAAGAGTGATTCAGTCATTCATTCACCCACAATGATTTGTGACCTGATTATAAAACCCTCTCCCTGGCCATGAAACAGCTATAGACGCAGCAGTAGTCACAGTAATAAGAATAATACATCATCAAAAACAATAACAACTTAGCTTTATTAAGTGCTTGGTTAGGGTCAGGTCCTACAGAAACTCTACTAATCCTTACACCAGCTTTTTGAGTCAGATACCGTCCTTAGCTCCAATTTGCATGTTACACTTCACTATTGTGTAAGATCTCTGAGTGCAAGAAGAGTACAGTTAGGGCAGCATGAAGTGCTGTTGAAGAGAGCAGGCGACTTCAGCTTAAAAATCAATCAATCAGGCCCTCCCTGGTGGCGCAGCGGGTTAAAGCACAGCACTAAGAAGCTTAAGCCTCTTCCGTATAAGTTCGATTCCTGCTGGCCCAGGAGGAGATCCATATGGTGTGGCAGACCTCTTCTGACCCGCCCGCTGCTCCCCTCAGCAGTGTACTTCGTCATTCTGCCTGTTCTGCTCCCCGCTCTGTCTCTGGTGAATCCTCTCACCCTCTGCATCTCTGGCCTGTACCCCAATCAATACCAAGACTCCAAAAAGAAGAGGGCTCCACTCTTTACTGGTGGTATGACCTTGAATAAATAAACATACTTAGCTTCTTTTTTTTCTTAATATTTATTTTGTAGAAAAACTGGGATGTAGGCCAGAGGTGTGGGGGTGAGAGAATTCACCAGAGACAGAGTGGGGAGCAGGACAGCTGTATTGACTCAAACCCACTGCTGAGGGGAGCAGCAGGCCAGACACACATGGGGTCTGCTACGCCATGTGGGTCAGCTCCCTGGTGGGGGAGTGAACTCAGCCTACACGGGTGATAGAGCTGAGACTTAACCCCTAGGACACCAGGGAGGCTCTTTGCCTTTTTGACTCTCCAGTTTCCTATTTATAATATAGGGCGGTTATAAGGATTAAGTGATCATAATAATGACAATAAAAAGGAGGGAAGTCACTGACCCAGTAACTGAAGGAAGAGGCAGCACGTCATAAACACCATGCCAAAGCACAGATGAAGGCCCCTGAGACATTAGGCTGGGTACAGTCACCTCATGAGAATGGAGCTAGCTCTGGGGAGCCCAGAAAACACCCTCACCCAGAGTTGGGAGAACCCACCAGAAAAGGCATGTTCCCCCACTCTGAGTCAGTGAATCTCCTATTTGGAGGGAAAGGGGGCAAAGAAAATGATCTTTTCCTAGCAACTGGAGCTACAGGGGAGGGCACAGAAAAGGCCTCTAAAGAATGTGGAGAAGAAGGTGTGGGTGCTGTTCCAGGACAATCCAGGTCAGTCTTGATCCCTAGCTGCCTACATGGCGCAGCAGACCTCTCCTGTCTCCCCAGTGCTCCCCTTAGCAGTGTATTTCGGTGGATGTGCCTGTCCTGCTTCCCACTCTGTCTCTGGTGAATCCGCTCATCCCCACACCTCTGGCCTGTACCCCAGGTCTTGGAGGCTTAAAGAAATAAATCTTAAAAAAACAAAACAAAACTAGGGATTCATAGGGACAGGGGATGGGTCTCCCATACACACCCTTTTCATGTCCTCAAGCACCTATCCTCTGCTGACCAGGAGGACTGAGGGCACACTGGGATCTTACCCTGAAAGCCCTGACTTCAACTGAGGTGTAGGGAATGGAAGTCCTCCACTCCGGAACTCAGGACCACCAGACTCAGACACAACCAGGGAGTGCTAGAAAATACAGCTCAGTCCAGGTCATCGCCAGCCCCAGATTTGCCCCAGAGCATGGTTCACTTACCCAAATAAATGCCCATTCCAGCCCATCACAGAGCTGGGCCATGACCCCTCCCCAAGCCAGATATCAGCAGGGAGCCAGGGAGAGAGAAGGCCCTACCCACAGAATCCAGCCTCTTACATCAGATTTGTGCCCTGGACAGGATATCCTGTATTTACTGAGCGGAAAGTATGGGGAGGGAGGTTAGGTGGGTGGCCTTCAGCAGAAACATGAGCTACAACTCCCTGCTCACCCCACCCGGGCACAAAATTTCTCTTAGCACCTTCTCAAGAATGGGATTATTTAGAAGTCAGGGAACAGAAAGAAATTCAGGGACAAGCCCTTTAAGAAGGAGCTGTTTGCATGTACAATAAATCCAAGAATTCCAGCTCTGGGATCTGGGCTTGGCGAGCCTAGCAAAACAAGGCAGTATCTGAGAGGCCTCCCTGACAGGGGCCTGATTTGAAAAGAAACCCCCAAACAAATGACGTAGTGACAAAGGCCTCACCCCATGCCTGAAAAGTTGGCCATTTGGAACTCCCCAGTGTCCGGGGTTGTGACCAAGATTAATGATAACCAAAAGGAGAAACAGACTGGTAGAGCTGGGCCGACCTGTTCACGTTGCCACACCCCCCACCCCAGCCCAAATGGGCACCATCCTGATGGTTGAGGCAGGGGTCTTCGGAAGGGAAGGCAGAGGCAGTGCTGCTGGAACATTCCCCAGGGGCATGGCCGCTGGCTGAGTCACAGGAGGAGGAGGAAGAAGAGGAGGAGGCCAAGGCGAAGGAGGCGATACTGCAGTCACGGGAGACAGCCCAAGACAAAGATCCAGAGACCCAATCCCGCCTCCCCCACCCAGGCCTCGGACCGGCCAGGGAAGGGGGGTTGGGGAGTGGGGAGGTTCCCTCTCCTCCATGATGGGCGCGCCCGTCAGCCCTGCTCTGGGAGGGGCCACACCCCCCCACAGACCACGGGGCTGCATGTGACCAGGGCTCTGGCACCGCCATGAGCTCCCGCCCAACTTCGACTCCAGCTCAGGAACCTCGAGTAAAAGGGTCCTGGCCGTCGCTCCACAATTACCCGTGGGGAATTTGCTAAGGGGGGTTGGGGGGGGGAACAGGTGTGGCTTCAGTAAGGTGGCGGTGGGCTTGTTGCGCGCATGCGCGCAGCCGCCTCATTGTTCCCCTCCCATCCACTACCACTTCGGGGCGAAGATAACAATTAAAATTTTTGAGGAGACGCGACAACTCTCTCTCTGTCCCGCTTCACCAACTACAAATGCGGATCTCCGGGAGCCTCAGAACACAGGCTCCTTTCCTGCCCGACTGCCTGGGTCGGTACCAGTTTCTCCGACCTGCCACACCCCCGGCGCCCGCCCACTCGGGTCCCACTGCCCAGGTCCCGCTGGCCTCTCCCCGCCCTGCCCTGCGCAGTCCCGCTCACCTTGCGGTCGTCCACCCCCTCGCCCACGGCGATCACGACGCCCGCGCCCTCCATGCCAGGAGTGATGGGCAGCGGCGGCAGCCGGTCGTACAGCCCTTGCCGGGCCATAAGGTCGGCGAAGTTG